GTTTTCTCAGGTGATCCAGCTCAGAGAACAAAACTCCACCAAGACTGTTTTCTGATTGACTAAAACTTCTTAAGGTCACTTGAGATTAGCTCAAAAGTCGTCCATAAATTATAATCTCACCATATGCAACTTATGACTTCTGTCAGCTAATTAAGAGGGTTAGAACCTTCCTAATATTCAAGTATTTACCAGTGAACAACTTAACAAACTGGTGTATACGGAAAGATATATGGACGAACAATTTACAAGTTGACGATAACGGTGTTTACTATTGACACCTACCACGATTATTCATCTGATTGATTATAAATATAATAACTAAACGCAATCTTTCCTTTTTTATTTTGTTAAAGCATACTACAAGGGAAGAAGGCGTAGAGTCTCAGATCCCTTAAAAGCTTGTTGGAACTTGGTATTCTTTTCTATAACAAACCTTCGTAGTATTAGCTGGATATGCCATCATCGGAAAGTAACTTAAATATTCGTCGTAACGTTTTCTCAAAACTTGTAAATTGATTTATTTCTTTAGTTTATCATACTTATCATTAAACATTTGTTGTTCAATTATCGTATTACAATATAAGTAGTTAATTACGTTCGTAACAGTATGACCTTCTAAAGATGTATGCATTTATCTGTCATAGTGAATTGCTCTACACTCTTACAAGCTCTTATAACAAAATGGGTACTTATAAAATGAACTCCTAGTTATTTCTAATTGTCACAAACAGTTAATCGTTAAGATTTTCATTATACATCCCCATGAAACTATGATGAAGATAAAAATAACAACTATGCAAAAGTTTATTAATACATCATCAGTAATGATAAAGGATAAAACAACATTTGATTCAGAAAAATAAGTTCAGGAACTTTGTTTCTAGAACATCTCCACATTTTTCGATTTTCTGAGTGATTTTAAAGTAGACTACACAAAAATAAGAGTTAAAGAAAGTGGATTCTTATCGAGTTATTGATGATTCTCAAGTAAACATTGTTGACTTTTCGTTCCACTTTCATCATGAACTGCTCACCATATTTATTCACGCTCTGTTGACTGTACATCTTCTGGCTTCGTTGAATCTGTGAATACTGTTTGCTTCGCTTGTAGAATGAAATTATTGTTATATAAGAATGTATGTGTTATATATATAGTCACGTTCAATCACTTATTCTCCCATGGTCTTGCTACCCCTTCGAATTTTAGGAACTATAACTGCTAATTATTACATTCTTCTTTATTAAGTACATAGTTATCTTAATCTTTTATTCCATAGATTATTACTCTTTATTACTTCCTAAACTATTATGTAATGTAACCTCATGATGATTGTTAATTACTTTGTTAGATAATAAAACGTTTTTTTATTCAATACTTTAATATTTTGACAACATTGAAATGACACTCATTCATTTCATAGCTGAGTTCAAAAGTCAATTTAAGTTAGATCACTATAGAAAACCTGAAAACATTAGACCGCCATTTTTTTCCTAGCATGGGACTCCTCACCAGTGCTCATCCATGGTCCTACACTCGGGACTCAAACCCAGGACGTGTGAATATTTAACCTCTAAACCACTGAGCTGGCCTGCATCCAACGGTGTTAATGTCTAACTTCACCCAACCCACTTCCATTTACTTGAAGATATTTGGTAATCTTATTTTGATTGACCTCCACGTGAATAAGTTTGGTTGTCTTTGATAATCTTGTAAAAGTTCCTCTGTTTTACTATATAAAAATACTTGTAAATAATTACCTATAAATGTGATTGAACAGCTTCATTGAATGATATCGTAGAAAAGAACATGTTTTCTCGTTAGGACATTTTCCTTCTTTTTAATGAAACAATGGAATATCGTGTTTTTTTCAAAGTTTCATACGTTTAAAAACTTATTCCCTCTTGAAACATGTTTGTATTAATCACTTGGCTGAAGGATAAGGTTGCTTCAAATAAACTTATTTAATAGCACTTCTTCTAGTGACTTAATTATTTGAATAGTTGAAATCATGAGTCAATTGAAGCTAGATCGCCACAGAAAACCTGTAAGCACTCGATGGTCGTTTCGTCCTATTGCGGGACCCCTCAGCAACGCGCACCCACGATCCCACCTCATGGGGTTCGAACAGTGGACCTATCACTGTCGCGCGCGAACGCGAACCGCTGAGCTGGCCGGCATTCAATGGTGTTAATTTACAACTTCAACTAATCCATGAAATTGAGCGACACATCCACTATTGTCTTCACTGAGTTCCTATTTCACAACACACCCGGTTGAACTCCACTGGTCACTGCTTTTCACTAGAACTCCAGAAAATACCTTTCGAACTCTATTTTCTACGTTAATCTTCATTTTTGGACATAATTGTATTCTCCTAATTATTGTACGTTATGATCGGGTTAGTCATCTATGTACACTGATCATCCAATTAACTGAGAGAATAGTTTTCGTCTCTCAACCCCAAAACAGTTAACTCACGCATACTAGCCTTAAAATTAAGCCAGCCAGCCTATCGCGTCATGTTCTTAATCTACATTAGACAAGTTATCCTCATTACCAAAAGTGGGTAAACAGATCCAGGACTTAACTACTCTGTAATTATACGCTAAACAATAAATTAGTTATCCCTCATTAAATCTTCATTTATTTTAATCTGTAAACAAATTCATCCCTACAACTTTTAACCGTACTCTTTTTGTTATAAATTCAAAAACAAATACAATGTAATCACAAAAGAAAGTTTACTAACATTTTAAATCGTACATAATTAAGAAGAAAACACGATAGAGAAAGAAAAACACACAGTTTCATAAATATTCTACACCTTGTTGATTGAAAGTTCTAAATTTATTTGATTATTTGTAGTTGAATTGTCATTGACTGAAAAATGGAGAAAAGAAACGTTTTATTCTGGTGAAAAATTTATCCAAATTTAACTAATTTTTTTACAATTTCTTGGTTTAAAAAGTGGAGAAATGGATAGCTATATGATGTGTTCTGATAGTATCACACGATTATCTTCTGTGTGTTATTTTATACTACTTATAAATATTCAGTAACCAGTAACTATTCACAAAGTATATTGAGTAAATCTGTTATTGATTGGGATCTTGAAATAATTAATGTTGGGCCTCCATTGGAAACCTAGGATGAGTGGGATTCGAACCCAGGGCCTTTATCGTCGCACGCGAACGCTTAACCTACTTGACCATTGAGCCACTCGGCATCTAACGGTGTTATTGTCGAACATCAACCAAACCACGAAATCGCGCCACCATCTTCCATTGTACTGAAATAGATACCTGTCTCTACCCAAAACGGAATAGCTCCACTGGTCACGGCTTCTCGCTAGAACTCCGAGACTTCCCTCTGGAAGTTAGTCACTAGTGAGAACATGGTAATTATCAGTATAGGGTTGTGGATGCGCACTGCAGAATAGGCCTATGTTAGTAAGAAACGGCCGTTCAGTGGTGGTCTAACATCAATCGGTTCAAGATCTCAACCAACAACTTATTAATTTCCACAACTCTATATAGATAAATCCGTTATGGTTCCGTATTTTGAATCATTTAAGTAAATCTATTCATCATTGTAACGGAATCTTCTTATCATTTCTAATGGGTATTTCTGATTTTATTTTACAGTCAATGAATATTTGTTTTATTATAACAGTTATCGTATTTTGTGTTCTTTGCCTTCATTTTGATGTTATCAACTATTGCAGTTTCGACACAGCTATTAGTAGTCACATTACTTTATTGTATTTTGTTATTACATAACTAAAGTATTCACTTTAGCAAGCACGGTTCTTTGATTGCATACAGACATATTATTTGCCGTAGATAGCTAGCAAATGGTATTGTAGTAGTACTGAATGATACCATCACTCACCCATAAATTTTAAAGTCTGAATGAAATCAATCAGGAATGATCGGATTAGTTTCATGATATTGTTTTTCAATTATGATTTTAGTAAATGGTAGTTTAAATTTCACCAGAATTGTTAGTTCCTTTAAGATCGTAGATACTCTTTTCTAATATATAGTAATTAATCGATAGTTCAGCTCTACAGGTTTCTGTAAACTTATTTCAGTTAGATAGTATCAAAATGAAGCTAGTTCATATTATCTAATGTGAATAGCTTTTATTAAAAGTTTATATATATATATATATATATATATATATATATATATATATATATATATATATATATATATATATATATATATATATATATATATATATATATATATTCTTTCCACTAGAACTTAATTACTATCAAGTCAATTCAATAACTACATAATCCTATAATAATGAAAAACCTTACAGGAAATTTTAGTAAAGAATCTGAAAACTTGTAACTCTTTAACAATATTAAATGCTTCAACTCTGATCTGTTCAATGTTAGGATGATCGATCAGTGATTGATTGATCATTTATATCAATCAAAGTACTTGTGATATGAACCTACTTATTTAAGATTAAGTAGTTTGTCTTTATTCATTTAAAAAAAGTGACATATTGAAAGAAAGTTAAGTAAACTATTGTAGTAAACTCATTCAACTACTGTATTATTTATCTGAATACTGTAATTTAGACACTTGATTCACCATGCAATTTTCTGCGTGAGTCTGATTAAGCACATTTCAATCTATTCTCCCATTGGTTGTAACATACAGATAATCAATAATTTATCCATACTTGATTAACACTCATAAATATATATAAATGAATTTTTTAACACTCACACACTCACACACACTTGATTTTCCCTGTATGCTTGCTTCCTATACGCTTGTGCATTTTACCAATCTTTAACAATAAACTATCTCTAAAACTGATGTTTAGGCTTTTGAATACTCTTGAGTAAACCCACAATTCTACTAAGAGATTTAGCCTAGATACAATACTCAGTCAATGGACTACTATTTATTAAAGTCAAATATAAAAGACACTGACCTGTCAACTATAACATCTAAATAATCTATGGATAACTTACGGCTAAATGATGCAGAGAAATCCAATTTTTTATTGATAATATCATTTAATTCAGTTGAATTACGTAACATTCCTAAAAAGTCCATTTCTTTTAATTCTTTTTCAAAATCATCAGAAATCCAAAAACTTTTAGATACTAATTGACCTAAATGATAAAATATAATAAATAAACAACATTATTAATCATATATATGTATAATCTTGTATATTATGAATAAGTTTAACATTAAAGTTTACTAGTGTTATAACTGTGACTGTAGATTAAACGACAGCGAATTATCAATCGGACCAAAGACGAGTAAAACACGTGAGAACAACCTGGAGTACTGATTAGTCCTGCTTCACGGCCTAGCCTAGCCAGTTGAGTCCAGAACACAAGTCTCAGCCTCTAAGATATGAATCATTATATTTCAAGCATACTGAGTTTATATATTAATCAAACCGAGCACAACGTACGAATAAAATATGAATTAGCCAGATGTGGCTGTGAATGAGGAAGGTAGTAATCAATATACTGGGTATAACTCAAGAATGGTAAAACGTATAATAATGGTTCATAGATCAAAATAAAGCTTATAGTAAGAGGGACATCATTATAAATAGTTTACATTATATAATACAATATCATTATCTCAATAGTTGAAATCATAAATGAATTGAAGCTAGATCACTATGGAAAACCTAAGAGCACTGGATGGCCATTTCATCCATGCTGATCCAACTTCAACTGACTCATGATCTTAATCATTGAAATTATTATTAGTTCTTTACTTCATTTATTATGTTCAATGTAATCTATTTCACTGTTATCAATGACTAATGAACGACCCTTTATGGTTTATTATTATTCTTTATATTATTATATTCTAATTTTAAAATGTTTAATTTATTCAATGTTAAATTCAATGTCAATTAACTTGAAAATTGATCAATAAAAGATAATAATATTTTAAAAACAAAACAATTTACGTGTTATATTGCTTGGAGCAATTCCATATTGATTTTTTCCTGATATATCTATATCATTATCATTATCAAGGAATTGTGAAATCCATTTTTCATTCATATTTTTTGTTTCAGGTACTGAAAACCATGATGTTTCAGTTCCTTTATTATTTTTATCTATAAATAATTAATATATGAAATGATATAATGATAAAAATATATCCATCAGATATTAGACAAATTATAAGTGAATATATAATAAAATACATAACATTGATTGAAAAATGAAATATTATTCTATTTAAATTAGATCATTGGTGAAAACGTGGAAGCATTGGATGATCGTTTCATCGTAATATGGGATTCTTTAGTAGTGTACATCCACGATCCTATACGTGAGACTCGAGAACCTAGGAGCTTCGATCTCGATCATGAACCCTTTAATCTCTAGATCACTGAGACGGCATACATCAGGGTTTTGTGAATGAATGATATATATATATATATATATATATATATATATATATATATATATATATATATATATATATATATATATATAACATATTTATTGCAGTTGAAATTATCAACATATATATATTTACCTGAGGAGGTAGTATTAAGTTTTGCCGAATTATTTTGTAACAATGTTCCACCATTAATTTGACTATTAATAAAGTCAAGCATATCTTTATCGGTTACATTTTTATCACCTAATTTAATAACCCATGTAGTTTCTGTAATTTCATCATCATCTAAAATGAGTAGTAAAATGAATAAAAAGAGAAAAAAAAAAGAAGATGGCGTTTAGTAATTTACTCAAAATAGAAATTTTTTTAAAAAAATAATAAAAATTTCTAAAATAATTTTTGGGAAAGGAAAAAAAAGTAGAAAAGAAAAGAAATTTAAATGCGAAACTTATTAATCAGTTAAGCAATATAAGTTATCTGTTGAATTTCAAATGGTTTATACTACTGTTAACTGAATTCAGTAGCTAAATTTTATAAAACTAAAAGTTTTGACAAATTTGTTTTTTAATACAACAATCAATGATGCAAAAGGATGAATGAAATTTAATGTATGTAAATTTAGGATTGTTAAACAAACTACAATAAAATTGTTAATGTTGATATGAGCAAGTTATTTTGGTCGAAGTTTCAGGAATTTACATTTTCGTGCTCGTGAACACCTCTCAGTGTGGCTAAACAAACGTTTGATGAAGAAAGTGAACAGCTCAATATTGGCCCATTTAGTACAAACTGGTCATAGTGCCAGTATAAACCAATCTTTTTCAATTTTTTATAAGGTCAGTAATTTTTTTGTCAACATTTATCAGACTTAAAGTCGTTCAAACAGCTAAAGCATTAGCCATCCGGATGAAGAAACCAGAGCTATGTGTAAAAGAGAAATATCTTCAACCACTTCTCCCCTGCCCAATATCAAGGTCAATTAATCAATAGTAATCTTAGCTATTACATGACCTAATTTGACTACGACCTTTCGTACTCAATTGTAATTGTCGCTGTTATCTTTATTCGCCAAACTTATTATTATTATTATTATTATTATTATTATTATTATTATTATTATTATTATTATTATTATTATTACTATTGGTTAAACGTCATTATTAATCTCCCCTATACATGATTCATTCACTTCGCATTGATCCCTCCTTACTACGTCTTACTAAATTTTTGCACAATATAACCTTCAACTAAACATTTGACCGGATTGTAATTGAAATATTATTTTCCTCACCCTATCTGACCCACATTTATTCGGATCACGAATCTTAAATTTCATTTCACATATACATAGATTCAAGTTAACATTCTGTTATGAATCATATCAACATTAACAATTTTATTGTATTTGGTTTAACAATCTCAAATTCACATGCTTTAACTTTAAACAACATACTTTATCCTTAACCTTGCCATTTTTCCGATTATTAATTTGGATACATATGAATTGTAGAACCTGAAGAGAATTTATCGAGAAAAATATTCTTCATTCAAAATATTAGTCTTTTAATATGATAGGGAAACTCCGCCTGAAGTCCCTCCGAGGCCTACTGCCGGTCCTAAGCTCGGATAAAGGTGGAGGCTTGAGCATGGGGTTAGCGTCCCTATCCCGTAGAAAACTAACTCGCTAAACAAAACGCTAACCAGAAAAAAATTATTCAAACCTTAAATATGATGGGGATCTTTAAACAATTGAAATTTAATATATTATAATGAATAAACTCCAAAAAAAATTGTTCTATACTTCATGTATTCAATGGGGTAGACTAATTAACTTAGGTTAATTAACTCAATAAGATTATAAGTATATTTATAATTACAAATTAGTTAATTTAATATTAATCATTGAACTTACAATATTCATCTGATGAATTTAATGATGGTGCTTGTTTGTATACAATAGTTTTTTTCAACATTGGCTTTAATTGATTAGATGATTTTTGTTCTGATATTTTTTCTGTTTGAGCAGTTCGTTTCGGTTTGACAGTTGTAATTGTAATAACAGTAGTAGTAGTATTAGTATTAGTAGTTTGTTGTTCATCATCTTCATAATATTCACCTTCATTAGGTTTGGCTAAAATACAAAGTGAAAATTGTTATAACGGGTGACTGAAGGTTTTAATAAACAGCGTTTTATTGATCGGTTACAGGGACACGTAATGGACGACCTAGAGTCCCGATTGGCCTTGCTTCCCTGTCTATACCAGCCAGTTGAGTCCAGAACGAAAGTCACAGCCTCTGAGATATGAATCATTGTATTTTAGACATACTCTATTTATATACTAACCAAACATACCACATCGTACCATAAAAATAGAAAACAACATTTACACAATATTAGACAAGTGAAGTAAATATCGATCAATAGGGAATGTACATTTAGCGTCCAAGGCCAACATTAGACTTAACATGATAACTATTGGTATATTTTTCTGCACATCCTAACAAAAATGAAATTAGATTTAACAAAAATTATTTTGTTGCTGTTGTTGTTGTTGTTGGGATTAATGACCCGAAAGATTGCATTATTGATTGGTCATTGAGTGTAGACAAATAGGTACCTAGCCTAATTGACTAATAAATATGTGATTTCCCCTCCTGTCATTAATATCTACCCAGCATTGCTTAGGAGTGACTGATTGTAATTGTGTTGAATAAAATATTATAAGAATGCCCGGGTGTTGTGGAGTTTGTAGTAATTTTAATTGTTGAATTCATGATTCTATTAAAGCTAAACCATCACAGAAAACATGTAAGCACTAGACAGCCGTTTCGCCCTAGTATTGTGGTGTGAGCTACTTATATTGATATAAGTAGTATATAACGTGCGTTAAAGGAACGTAATGTCTTTCAGCAAAAGATGGCAAAGATCAAGAAATGTAGAGCGAGAACATAATGGAATTTGTAAGAAAATGTATAAAAAATGGAATGGGAGACAATGGTTTGGTGTTTGCAACAGAAACAGTCCAGTTTGGTTAGATGCATGAATGTTTTGCAAATTGACGATTGACTATATGGTATTCAGATTTTGTTGAGATAGACTGTAATTGTTGTGCTAAATACATCGTTTGTCCCCACCCGCGTTCTCGTTCACTACAATATGACATTACTGAGCAGTGCGCATTCACGACCCTGCACGCGGGAATCCAAATAAAATATTTCCTGGTCTATACTCTAGTACTCTACTCTGGGTCGTCAATTCTTGTTTTCATATCACGTGACTAGTCTTATTATACAATTAACATATTATTGTAGAATACCTGAAAAATAGACAAAAATATATTACATCATCAGTCATATGAACAACAAAATTTTATAGATTACACAACAAAAGAAGGAGCGGATCGGCAAAGGAAGAACAGCATATTTACAACTAAAGAACATCTGAAACCCAAAACAACTTGTAACCAACACTAAAGTCAGAATATTCTATACAAATGTCAAAACAGTTTTACTGAATATGTCGGAAAATTCGAAAACTACGAAAGCCAACATCCATAAGTTACGAGTGTTTATTAACAGTTGCCTGCGTAAAATAATTCTGATCCGTTGGCCAAACACTATCAACAACAACCTAATGTGGGCGAGAACCAACCAGATCCCACCGGAGGAAGAAATCAGGAATAAGTACTGGAAGTGGATAGGACAAACATTGAGGAAAGCACCCAACTGTATCACAAGGCAAGCCCTCACATGAAATCTTCATGGCCAAAGGAAGAGAGGGAGACCAAACAACACACTACGCCTAGAAATGGCGACAGACAGACATGAGAAGAATGAATAACAATTAGATAAAACTAGAAAGGAAGGCCCAGGACAGAGTGACTTGGAGAAAGCTGGTCAGCGGCCTATGCTCTATTAGGAGTCACAGACGAAGTAAGTAAGTAACACAATAAAAAACAATATCATTTGAGATATTTAACAAAATAAATAATCATTAATAATTGAAAGTAGAGAAGAGATAGCAATTTTTAATAGACTTACGAAGTATGTCTGAAGTATTAAATGTAGAAGATGATTTAGAAGAAATAGATTTTCTCACGATTGAAGTTGACCTAGAAGATGATACCTTCTTTGGTAGTTTTGATGATTGACGAGGCATTTTCAAGAATGGAGTAGTAGCAGTAATGGAATTTAATCTATCTTCATCATAATAATCGAGTCCAGTCGAAATTGCTTCAAAAACAAAACAAAGAAAAAAAAGTAATAAAAATCAATCGAAAAAAAAATTAAAATTAAAAAAGGCAGCAAGTAAAAAAAATGGAAACCTTAAGAAATGAAAAAAAGCACGCAAAACCTACATCGTACAGCGCACACAATAGGCCGCTAGGTATGATGTGTGCATGAGTGAGAGTGGGAGATTGTCTCGATGTGTTTGACACTAACAGGCTTGTGGTGGGCATCGATCGTGTGTGTGCGAATCGTCCACTCTCATGTGTGTCTGTGGGAGACACGTGTGCACGTGTGATTGCGTGAGTGATGTTGCAGATTTCCATGTGGATGTGTAATGGCATGAGAAATGCGTAGTGATTCGGTGTGTTTGTGTGCTGGCAATGTGACGAGTGATGGATTGATTGATTGATTGATTGAGTGAGTGTGTGGCAATCCAGTGAGTGGTTGTATTTGTGTGTGGTTATTGGCATGGTTGTTTTTCTTTTTTCGGTATGTCAGTTCGAATGATTAGTTTGCTGTGTGAATGTATGAGTGGTTGAGTGAGTGGATGAGTGTCTGTTTGACGTAGTGATACAGTTCGAGAGAGCCACTCGAATGAGTGAATGCAGTGAGGGATGACGGACAGTGATCGTTCGAGCAAGAGGACACTGTGAAGTGGAACTGATGTGACGATGAGAGGAGCACAGTGATTGTTACTGGTCGGAGCTGAGACGAGATTGATTGTTGGTGCAGAATGCAGTGAGTGTGTGAATCTATGCGTTTATCGTGTAAGACTTACGTTTGCTTGAGTCGGTGACTGATGCAGTTCCGTTTCGTTTGGGTGATGTTTCGGAGGGAAGTCGACGTCGTCTTCTTCTCTTGCCAGTCTTGTCCACGTAGTCGACGTAGAGCTCGTCGTCTTGTGGTGTGGTGCTGGATGGTGCTCCGGTGTCAGGTGTCGACGTGGGTTCTGCGAACAGAGGATAAGAGAAGAGAGTGTTAGCATGATGAGGACAGCGATGTCGGGTGACTCTGGATGGTAGACTGAATGTTCCAGTCTGTCTGGTGTGATGTGTGCATGAGTGAGAGTGGGAGATTGTCTCGATGTGTTTGACACTAACAGGCTTGTGGTGGGCATCGATCGTGTGTGTGCGAATCGTCCACTCTCATGTGTGTCTGTGGGAGACACGTGTGCACGTGTGATTGCGTGAGTGATGTTGCAGATTTCCATGTGGATGTGTAATGGCATGAGAAATGCGTAGTGATTCGGTGTGTTTGTGTGCTGGCAATGTGACGAGTGATGGATTGATTGATTGATTGATTGAGTGAGTGTGTGGCAATCCAGTGAGTGGTTGTATTTGTGTGTGGTTATTGGCATGGTTGTTTTTCTTTTTTCGGTATGTCAGTTCGAATGATTGGTTTGCTGTGTGAATGTATGAGTGGTGGAGTGAGTGGATGAGTGTCTGTTTGACGTAGTGATACAGTTCGAGAGAGCCACTCGAATGAGTGAATGCAGTGAGGGATGACGGACAGTGATCGTTCGAGCAAGAGGACACTGTGAAGTGGAACTGATGTGACGATGAGAGGAGCACAGTGATTGTTACTGGTCGGAGCTGAGACGAGATTGAGTGTTGGTGCAGAATGCAGTGAGTGTGTGAATCTATGCGTTTATCGTGTAAGACTTACGTTTGCTTGAGTCGGTGACTGATGCAGTTCCGTTTCGTTTGGGTGATGTTTCGGAGGGAAGTCGACGTCGTCTTCTTCTCTTGCCAGTCTTGTCCACGTAGTCGACGTAGAGCTCGTCGTCTTGTGGTGTGGTGCTGGATGGTGCTCCGGTGTCAGGTGTCGACGTGGGTTCTGCGAACAGAGGATAAGAGAAGAGAGTGTTAGCATGATGAGGACAGCGATGTCGGGTGACTCTGGATGGTAGACTGAATGTTCCAGTCTGTCTGGTGTGATGTGTGCATGAGTGAGAGTGGGAGATTGTCTCGATGTGTTTGACACTAACAGGCTTGTGGTGGGCATCGATCGTGTGTGTGCGAATCGTCCACTCTCATGTGTGTCTGTGGGAGACACGTGTGCACGTGTGATTGCGTGAGTGATGTTGCAGATTTCCATGTGGATGTGTAATGGCATGAGAAATGCGTAGTGATTCGGTGTGTTTGTGTGCTGGCAATGTGACGAGTGATGGATTGATTGATTGATTGATTGAGTGAGTGTGTGGCAATCCAGTGAGTGGTTGTATTTGTGTGTGGTTATTGGCATGGTTGTTTTTCTTTTTTCGGTATGTCAGTTCGAATGATTGGTTTGCTGTGTGAATGTATGAGTGGTGGAGTGAGTGGATGAGTGTCTGTTTGACGTAGTGATACAGTTCGAGAGAGCCACTCGAATGAGTGAATGCAGTGAGGGATGACGGACAGTGATCGTTCGAGCAAGAGGACACTGTGAAGTGGAACTGATGTGACGATGAGAGGAGCACAGTGATTGTTACTGGTCGGAGCTGAGACGAGATTGATTGTTGGTGCAGAATGCAGTGAGTGTGTGAATCTATGCGTTTATCGTGTAAGACTTACGTTTGCTTGAGTCGGTGACTGATGCAGTTCCGTTTCGTTTGGGTGATGTTTCGGAGGGAAGTCGACGTCGTCTTCTTCTCTTGCCAGTCTTGTCCACGTAGTCGACGTAGAGCTCGTCGTCTTGTGGTGTGGTGCTGGATGGTGCTCCGGTGTCAGGTGTCGACGTGGGTTCTGCGAACAGAGGATAAGAGAAGAGAGTGTTAGCATGATGAGGACAGCGATGTCGGGTGACTCTGGATGGTAGACTGAATGTTCCAGTCTGTCTGGTGTGATGTGTGCATGAGTGAGAGTGGGAGATTGTCTCGATGTGTTTGACACTAACAGGCTTGTGGTGGGCATCGATCGTGTGTGTGCGAATCGTCCACTCTCATGTGTGTCTGTGGGAGACACGTGTGCACGTGTGATTGCGTGAGTGATGTTGCAGATTTCCATGTGGATGTGTAATGGCATGAGAAATGCGTAGTGATTCGGTGTGTTTGTGTGCTGGCAATGTGACGAGTGATGGATTGATTGATTGATTGATTGATTGATTGAGTGTGTGGCAATCCAGTGAGTGGTTGTATTTGTGTGTGGTTATTGGCATGGTTGTTTTTCTTTTTTCGGTATGTCAGTTCGAATGATTGGTTTGCTGTGTGAATGTATGAGTGGTTGAGTGAGTGGATGAGTGTCTGTTTGACGTAGTGATACAGTTCGAGAGAGCCACTCGAATGAGTGAATGCAGTGAGGGATGACGGACAGTGATCGTTCGAGCAAGAGGACACTGTGAAGTGGAACTGATGTGACGATGAGAGGAGCACAGTGATTGTTACTGGTCGGAGCTGAGACGAGATTGAGTGTTGGTGCAGAATGCAGTGAGTGTGTGAATCTATGCGTTTATCGTGTAAGACTTACGTTTGCTTGAGTCGGTGACTGATGCAGTTCCGTTTCGTTTGGGTGATGTTTCGGAGGGAAGTCGACGTCGTCTTCTTCTCTTGCCAGTCTTGTCCACGTAGTCGACGTAGAGCTCGTCGTCTTGTGGTGTGGTGCTGGATGGTGCTCCGGTGTCAGGTGTCGACGTGGGTTCTGCGAACAGAGGATAAGAGAAGAGAGTGTTAGCATGATGAGGACAGCGATGTCGGGTGACTCTGGATGGTAGACTGAATGTTCCAGTCTGTCTGGTGTGATGTGTGCATGAGTGAGAGTGGGAGATTGTCTCGATGTGTTTGACACTAACAGGCTTGTGGTGGGCATCGATCGTGTGTGTGCGAATCGTCCACTCTCATGTGTGTCTGTGGGAGACACGTGTGCACGTGTGATTGCGTGAGTGATGTTGCAGATTTCCATGTGGATGTGTAATGGCATGAGAAATGCGTAGTGATTCGGTGTGTTTGTGTGCTGGCAATGTGACGAGTGATGGATTGATTGATTGATTGATTGATTGATTGAGTGTGTGGCAATCCAGTGAGTGGTTGTATTTGTGTGTGGTTATTGGCATGGTTGTTTTTCTTTTTTCGGTATGTCAGTTCGAATGATTGGTTTGCTGTGTGAATGTATGAGTGGTTGAGTGAGTGGATGAGTGTCTGTTTGACGTAGTGATACAGTTCGAGAGAGCCACTCGAATGAGTGAATGCAGTGAGGGATGACGGACAGTGATCGTTCGAGCAAGAGGACACTGTGAAGTGGAACTGATGTGACGATGAGAGGAGCACAGTGATTGTTACTGGTCGGAGCTGAGACGAGATTGAGTGTTGGTGCAGAATGCAGTGAGTGTGTGAATCTATGCGTTTATCGTGTAAGACTTACGTTTGCTTGAGTCGGTGACTGATGCAGTTCCGTTTCGTTTGGGTGATGTTTCGGAGGGAAGTCGACGTCGTCTTCTTCTCTTGCCAGTCTTGTCCACGTAGTCGACGTAGAGCTCGTCGTCTTGTGGTGTGGTGCTGGATGGTGCTCCGGTGTCAGGTGTCGACGTGGGTTCTGCGAACAGAGGATAAGAGAAGAGAGTGTTAGCATGATGAGGACAGCGATGTCGGGTGACTCTGGATGGTAGACTGAATGTTCCAGTCTGTCTGGTGTGATGTGTGCATGAGTGAGAGTGGGAGATTGTCTCGATGTGTTTGACACTAACAGGCTTGTGGTGGGCATCGATCGTGTGTGTGCGAATCGTCCACTCTCATGTGTGTCTGTGGGAGACACGTGTGCACGTGTGATTGCGTGAGTGATGTTGCAGATTTCCATGTGGATGTGTAATGGCATGAGAAATGCGTAGTGATTCGGTGTGTTTGTGTGCTGGCAATGTGACGAGTGATGGATTGATTGATTGATTGATTGATTGAGTGTGTGGCAATCCAGTGAGTGGTTGTATTTGTGTGTGGTTATTGGCATGGTTGTTTTTCTTTTTTCGGTATGTCAGTTCGAATGATTGGTTTGCTGTGTGAATGTATGAGTGGTGGAGTGAGTGGATGAGTGTCTGTTTGACGTAGTGATACAGTTCGAGAGAGCCACTCGAATGAGTGAATGCAGTGAGGGATGACGGACAGTGATCGTTCGAGCAAGAGGACACTGTGAAGTGGAACTGATGTGACGATGAGAGGAGCACAGTGATTGTTACTGGTCGGAGCTGAGACGAGATTGAGTGTTGGTGCAGAATGCAGTGAGTGTGTGAATCTATGCGTTTATCGTGTAAGACTTACGTTTGCTTGAGTCGGTGACTGATGCAGTTCCGTTTCGTTTG